TTATCGTAGAAAACCAATAGTTTCTGAGTTATAGGCCGCCAAACATAGGGCTGCAGCGCGACCTGCTGGAATTGCCCGAGGCTATATCTCGGAAACCGTTGTTCGAAGAAAAAAATCCTTGCCACAGCTGGCTTCCCCGCCCATCACAACCCCTTACACCAGTTTTCAACGAAAAATAAAATATGAGGGTGCAAATTTAATTTTTTATTTGTCGATTTGTCGTGGAACGCCCCAGTGGTGAGATTCGTTTTGGGGTAGGTTACCGCAAAATGATTTTACCGCACTTGGTGAGATTGGGCCCTAGTGTCGAACATCGTTAGTGCGAAGGTTAAGGTCAGGCCGTTAACCAATGACGTCAAAAGAAAACCTCTGTAAGGTCCCAAAATGTCGCGACGTCGCAGCACCCTTCGTGCCAGGGGACTTTTCAACGGGGAATGAAGCTTTTATGATCTACATAGCACTATCTCCCAGAGGCCTCACAACTTGTATGTAGCTATCTCGTATTTTTCATAAGAGTCACCTGAAGTCAGGTCAAAAACCGGCATTCGAAATAGCGTCAAAGATCATGACGAAAGTGCCCTACTGTTAACGCCGACCCCTTGAGACCCTAATTTTTCGCGATTATTTTTAAATGCGTGGAAGAATTTCAACCAAGCTCAGGACATGGCCGTTTCAAGACCTGCCGAAACTTTTACAATTTAGATATTTTATCGCCATTTCAATATTTCAGGCACTTCTCATTGACTCGTAATGTTAAGTTTCGTGCAAGATTTTCATCCGGTGTGTAGAGGCTATTACCAGTCAGTCTGTGATACGTTATGACGTCACAGCTAAGCCCCGCCTCTGTGGTCTTGGCCTGCGGCGGTTTCGGGCCGGCGCGCGGTCACTCGCGCTGTGGCGGGGAGCGGGGACGGTCGAGCTGCGATGCCGAAAGCCGGCGGAGTTGTGCGTAACGTCTTGGCTGACAGTGCCCAAAGAGCGACATGATGACTGAGGAGCCATAAATGTTCAATGCGCATTGCTTGTACAATGCTGATATGTTCGCTGGTATTTGTTTTATTTTTTATAAGCTGCAAATGACTGGCAGATGGCATATAACTGACATAAGGCTAGGAAATATTCACCTGTATTTAAAGCCTATGGCGTTGCAGAATCAGATAATGCGATAATGGGATGTCGGATGTTACCAAATAGCTGCCGATTTGTACATCGCTATGCAACCATCGAACAACGCAATGATAAGTTAATTGCCTTCGCTTCACATCATAAGGCTCGCTCGTATTTCAAACAGATATCCTACAGGGTGTCCCATAAGTTCCTTCTCACCTAAATTTTTCTTTAAGAGGCTCTCTTATTTAAAGCCACGCTTAATTTATTTTGTAACTGAGCTTTTGGGGTTGCCATGGCAACTGTGAATGTGCTCCACGGTAACTAATTCGTCTAGACAAAATATTTTTTGCCAGAGAGTTCACTTCCTTTGGAGACGGCTTACGCCGCAACATAGAGGTCTCTGATACGGGAACGTCTCGGTATTTAGACCGCACTGGGCCATTCACGACGGTTGAGGGTGATTGAGGCCATCCAGTATGTAGCCAATGTCTGTCGCTAACTGGACGCACAGTCAACAAGTGACGCCGATGATTTGTCGGGAGTCAATCGCTGCAAGTTTATGCTCTCTTTTTGTCAGCTTTCACGAGTGAGCCATGTGGCCAAAACTGTGTGGCGCCAAAATGGCCGTCAAAAAGGTCTTAGCGTTAGAAAGTTGGTAAACAGGCTTTTCAGGATGTATTACCAGCTGTCTAAGAGTATCATTTCGGGGTACCTAACTCAAGGTGACTTAAGCTCTACTTACCGGAGGGCTCAAAACAGTCAAAAACGTCTTAAAATGGCCAAACATGTGTTTCGTTATGCCTGAGGCTAAAAAAACTGAAGGGTCGATGACATCAATGTGGTCATCTGGACTACCTAGTCCGTGCTCGAGATAAAACACCCGTCCAAACCCCAAAACGGTCCCATATGGGCGACGGAAAAGGCCTTTGTGTTATCCAGCTTTATTCCTATGCAAAAGGCCAGGGTCACGGTAATGTGGGGTAATATGCGTCCAGACACTGATCACGTTGCGAATGATGCTCCAGAAACAGTCTTGGGACGCAGAATGCTTCTCCAAGAAGATCTAGGAGAAGTTTCAGCTTTCTAGCTTAACTTGAACCGCAAGTATGACCACATTTTTTAGTAGAAAATGGCATCCGGGAGGTCGTAGGCCCATCTTCAAGCAAGACAGTGCATCAGTGCAGAGGTCAAGCAAAGCATAAAAGCAGTGCCAGGAGACTGTGATAGGCGTGTGTGGCAAGATCACATCCCAGGCAACTCATCAGATCCAAATTTCATAAAAAGGTGTTGGGAATATTGAAATCGAGGCTCGTCGAAGCGAAGCGGTGTTCCAGCATTGAGGAGCTCACGGCGCATGCCAAGTCAGTCTGGGCTAACTTCAAGCCTGCTATGCTGCCAAACATGCCGGTTGGCATGTCGCAGCATGTATTTATGTGTTTGCTTATGAAATGGGGAGCACATTGAGGGGTTATAAACATATCAAAACGCAATGTACTATGTTTTACATGCAAATAAAAGGTGAGAACGAACTTATGGGACACCCTGTACATCGAAAATCGTATTTGTTAGGAATCGTTAATGTTTATTCGAAGCACGTGTGAGTAGCAGGTTGAGGAGTGATGGTCCTCCTGGTCCTAACTCCTATATACAAGAGTCAACAAGAGCCTAACATTTACTTGACCGTCTGCTGCAATTGAATCATAGCACGTGAAGCGTCAGCGAAATTCATAGTCCTTTGCAGATGGCAGGGGTGTCGTTTGTACAGAGGTCGCTGATGGGCACGGGTCAATGCCGCAGTCGTGGGCGGAGCCTAATGTCATATGACGTATGAAAGCCTCTATCCAAGATGGAAAAACAGTTAACATTACGAGTCAATGACAAGTGCCACAAATATCTAAGTGACAACAAAATGTATTTGAAGAAAAAGTTTCGGCAGGTCTTGAAACAGCTGCTTCCTAAATATGGTTGAAATTATTCCACGCATTTAAAAATAATCGCGAAAAATGAGGGTCTCAAGGGGTCTGGCGTTAACAGTAGTACTATCTCCCAGAGGCCTCACAAATTTAATGTAGCTATCTCGTATTTTTCTTAAGAGTCACCTGAAGTCAGGTCGGTCACGCAACCTCACGATTATTAATCAATTGGGAAATATGAAAGCTGTTATTTTGGCGCCGGGAGCCATCTAAAGCTGTCTCAAGCGCATTAATTCGCGACTTCATACAATCTTTGCAAGCCCCAGCATTCACTTTTCCATTCTTAAAGTTAGGCGACTTCATTTATGACGTCACTAAGGTAACAGTAGTTTTCACCAAAAAGTCCCGATCAAATTGAGCTGGCGAGTCGGGAAGCCACAGTGGACTTGTGAGGACCTACCGAATCGAATAAGCGTTATGACCTCCTTGAGCCAGCCTCGTGGCCTGAGTGGCTCTGCCCTGACTTGACCTGAAGTGATCACCTTAAATTGGCCTCAACAAAAACAAAGCGTGTACTATTCGACGCGCTTGAGCATGCAAAACTCGATGGTGCCATCATCTTGGCTCTGTAACCACTTATGGAGAAGTTGTTCACCAAAAACCGATCCCGCGACTTGGAGCACTTATACTGACCTCAGAGTTTATCAGTTTACCTGAGACATTCAACTCGGGTACCAGTTGCTGCATCTCATACGACGCACGCGCTCAGTTTTATCCGCAAGGCACTAGCTCAATTAGGGACAAAAAGACGGAGAGGGGTCGTAATCGCCCCCCCCCCCCTCGGCCGGGGTACATGCAGAAAACCCAAAATTCCGTTGAGGGTTAAGCACTGAAGTGATATATTATGAAGCGAGAAGGTATAGGTCAAAACAAGTATGCACACGAGCGGATGTGAATAAAACTGTGTTTGAGGTATGCCTTTTTTATTATACATTCGATTTGCTTTAGTTATTGGTAAGAACAGATACAGCAAAGAAGAGCGCCCCTGAAGAAAAGGTGGCGCACCGGACGGGTGCGATTTTAAGGTCTAAGGTCGGTCGTGGACCTCTAAGTTCGGATTAAGCGCTGCATGTTAGGGGTAAAAAAAAATGGGGGCAAAAAAGCATCCCGATTTTGGCAGCATCGTCATGCTTTGTCACGGCACTCATCCACTCCCTCGGCCGAATTGTTATTTCCTTTTTGTATGAGTTCTGGCATAATCCCGCACATTATGCTGCTGATGTTGTTTGCCATGAAAAAAAATGCATGTTCAGCTACGTTCTACGCAGTACGCACTAACCTAACCACCATCCCACCATCCACCACTAACCGCCATCCCGTTCTGTGCTCCCTTCCACCCCACACGAATCAGCCGAGATACTAGTCAGTCGGGCTAGCGCTATCCTATCCTCCCTTCATGACTGCACAGCACTAAAACCCAGAGCCGAGACTTCCCGAGCGCGACCTCTGACCCCACGCGGTCCGAAGGGTCGGCCGATGCCTAAGGGCGCGCCGCGCGCCGGCCACCCGGATAGCCTCTGCCGAGTCTCTCGTTCATACACCGTTTACTACGCGCTCGATTCATTCATGATTCTGTGTTTCCTCGTTCCTCTCGTTAGATGGCTCTACTGATGCCATAGGCGATCCCAGGAAGATTGCGGCCAGAATACCCCAAACGGCAGAAAATGAGGTTTTTGGTGAATATCTCGGAAAGTATTTGGCATACAACGATGCAATTTCACAGCCTCGTGGTAAATGTGCATACACATAATTCGGGTTGATACTTATGCATTTGAACATTATACAGGACCAGATATGTCCGAAAAAGCAAAACCAATAAGACTTTTACTGGAGAACCGTACGACTCAGTCCACTTGTTCAAAAACACGTACTTCAACCTCCTGAACAAAAAACAACTGCACTGTTCGCCACTCGATGCAGGTGGGCCTCCTCTGGATGTTCACCTCAGCCACCTGGAAAAGGTACACTCCATCGAGTACAGCTCTGATGCCAAGATGGCATACCGACTCACGGATAAGGTGCTCCATCCAACAAGCATAGAGCGCGTGAACGTGCAGCTCGCCGTAGCAGCCACTCACGAGACAACCATCGCTGCGCTCCGCTACTATGGGCAACATGCAGAGTACGGCTCCTTAAACGGTACAGCAGAGTTCGTGCACCAAGTTCGGAGGTGGTTCGACATCGTCAACGTGAAGTCCCCTGGGAAGCATGTTCGTCGCAACGACTCGACTCTGCAGCCTATTTCCACTGGAGATGAAGAAGGGCTGGCATACATCGAGAAATTCAGAAAGATGATGCTGCGCTGGGAAGCCCAGGGAAACAAGAAGACGCAAATGTCGCTCGACACGATACGTGGAGTGGCAGCAACCTGTCGAGGGCTGGTCGGGCTGGCCAAGTATCTGCTCAGACAGTGTGATCTCGAGTATGTCCTGCTTGGCAAGATTCAATCCGACCGGCTAGAAGGTCACTTCGGCCACCTCCGGAAACTGGCCGGAGGCAACTTCTGGGCGAGCTCTCGTCAATTTTTTGAAGGAGAGGCTATCGTCCGCGTAAAAAGCCTAATTTGGCTCTCAGGCTATGGTCTGAGAACAGTGACGGCTGGCATGCAACCTGTCTCTCAGCAGCGCCTGGAAAACGACCAGCGAGCCGTCACTGAGATCACCGAGTATGCCGCTGCTGCCTCTTCTGATGACCCAGCCCAAGACGTCCCAGAAGGGACACAGCAGGCTCTGCACCACATAGCAGGCTATTTAGCCCACTCAGTCAAGAAGACTCACAGATGTGATGAATGTCGCGCGCTACTCTCTGACGGGCTAAGGACGCAACTGGTAACCGTGGTGGCAGAGAATGCTGAAGAAAAGCTGGTGGCTGCTAGCTTCACCGACCTCCTCAACCGTGGAAAGCTCCTGCAACCGAGTGAACTGTGCCTGCGAGTCGTCATGGAGGTCTGCCAGCTCTACAGACTTCTGGTGAATTCACAGTCAGAGACTCGCACCATCCTCTTTGGCAGTTCAAGTCCCAAGAATGTGTTCAGATCTGTGGTTCAGAACATGCTCGGCGATGACGAAGAACTGAAGGAAGTGGCTTGTGGAAGGGGGCACAAGTTTACCAGCAATATCCTCGCCACCATGGCCGGAGCGCTGTTTAACGTGTTCGTGTCTAACCACGTGAAGGATGTGAACAGCCAAGTGCATAGCAAGAAACGAAAGGGGCCGCCGACGCGCACCAGTGGGCGCGGTGTGGACTCGGACAAGATCCGCAAACTAACGGGCGCGAGCTGAGTTCATGCCTGTTCAAGAACATGTAGCATGTGTTGCGTCGTCGCGTCACTCACACACACAGCGAAGACGGCACTGCGTTCGGAGCTGTATTGACGGTCCGCTCTGTAACACGTCCGGGGAGCGACTACCCCGTCCTCCCCGCCCGGCCGGCTGGCCCCGGCCCGCCGACCGGTCACCGCCGGAGGCGCCGAGCGGCACCGGTACTATACCTGACAAGGGCGGCAGAGACTGTACACTACATCCCTCCCCAACTTATCTTTAAGTACATCACAAAGGAAATGACAATTAAACGAATAGTTCATGCTCCTCGTTCAGTGGCTTACAACGTTCCCGAACCACTGGGGTTTCACACTGAGTCGACCACTGCGCGTGCGGAGTCCTACACATTGGTCAGCCGCCTCGTCAGAAGGTCGGTCTGCCCGGGCGCTCGGCGTAGCGGCGCACGCCGGACCCTCGCGGCGTGGAAGAGAGAACGGCTCAACGAAATCACGCGGTTCAACATACTGTTTAACATAACTGCTGTTTCGCTTAAACAACTTTCCATCAGGCCTTCTCACCGTCACCTGAGAGCCGCTCACCGACACGACTCTATACGGCTCTGAGAAGAAAGCTCCTGACAGTTTAGTGAGTCTGTTCGGAATTTTCACCAGCACTCTGTCACCGACACTGATGTTGGCTGGCATTGTGTGTCGTTGTCGATCAGCGTAGCGTTTCCCCGCCTCACGGTAGCGCGCGTTCCTCTGCTGTACGACCGGCCGGTCGGGTGCCGGTGCGGGACCAGAGGCGGCCGGCATCTTGGTGCGCAGCCGCCGACCGCAAAGCAGCTCGGCGGGACTGACCCCCGTGGCGGGGTGAGGCGTGGTGCGGTACGCCAGCAGGAACGTCGGCAGGCTGGACGGCCAGCTCCGCCCCTCCGCCACGGCGGTCCGGATGGCCTTCAGCAGCGTCCGGTTCTTTCTGACGCTCGACAGAACCATTAGCCTGTGGCCAGAGAGGTGTCACCGTCAGATGTCGGATCCCACGCACCTTACAGAAGTCATCAAACTCGGCCGAGGTGAGGTTGCGAGCGTTATCGGTTGTTAACGTCAGCGGAAAACCATGGCTAGCAAACATCTTATCGAGACGAATAATGATTTCCTGGGTTGTGGTTTGAAACACTGTTTCGACTTCCACCCACTTCGAGTACTTGTCGATTACCACAAGAAGGCTCTCACCACCCAGGGGTAGCCAGTAACAGTTGGTAGCATTAGGCCAAATGGGCGCTCAAAAACTACTACCCCATAGGGTTTGCATGTTAAATCGACCTTTTTCAAGCGAGCCCCACACGTAAGCTAACGGATAAATTGCCAATATTATTATGGGAAAAGGTAGCCTAAAGCTTCCTCTACAACCTTTTTATCTAGCGTTTTTCGATGCGGAGGCCATAACAGGTCCAAAAAGCATTGGGCGCTGCCCGAGGTACCAAAAGCCCCTCCATGAGGGCACTAGTTCCTGCGCATGCGCACATTGCGTCAACCCTGTACTAGCGTAAGTTAGTGATACTGCTCACGGACTCGATCAGCCAATGAGCGTCCCCGATTATAATAACAGATGTCGCTAGCATCACGTAAATCCTGCTTGTGAACACATTTTAAGAATGAAACAGCTGCGCCATTTCCGCCTTCCATAGATTCCTTCCATCTTTGTATCAACTATAGGCTTTTCAACTAACTTTATTCTAAGTTTTAAACTATGGTTAGTATGTTATTTCTGGTTCATATAATTTAAAAATAACTGCTTTATGAATTTGGCTTTACTCGTCAGAATTGAATACTCTATTTTTTCCATATTCAAAAATATATCACATTCCATGTAACTCATCCAGGTAAAATGGGCGCTTTCCGCGTCGTTGGTGTACCCGTTGTTCTATATACCCTGCTCACCACCAGGAAACGGTCCACACAGATCGTTTAAGTCTTCCCAGGGCCCTGATGGAAGTTCTGTGGTGCATATAGGCTCAGGCGGGTTCCCTGCAGACACGACCTGGCACGCATGGCACGACCTTACCAGTCTCTCAACGTCTACGTCCACTCCTGACCACCATACGCAGCTTCTGAGCCTCTGCTTTGTACGGACGACACCCTGGTGCCCCTCATGTGCCAGGTTTAGGACCTTCCCGCGAAGTCGATCTGGAATAACGAGGCGATTTCCCCGTAACAACATGTTGTCGCATACAGATAGCTCCTGCCACAACATTCGGTACGGCCTTGGGCAGTCCTGCTTCTTACCGGTTGGCAGACTTCGCATCACCAGCTGTAACTGGTCGTCTCGGGCCGTCTCCTTTTGAATGTCACTCTTCTGTAGCGCGGACGGGATGGCGTGACTGGTCACAAAACGTGCGTAGTGGTCGCCGCCGTTGCCGCCAGCAGGAGCCGGTGTCTGTGTCAGTCGGCTGAAACAGTCAGCGATGTTAAGCCGTCCCGAGACATGCTTCACACGGTAGCGATACGGTTGCAGACGCAGCACCCACCGTTCAATCCTGGCTGGTGGCTTAGAGCCAGGTGAGAAAATCGCCAGGAGTGCTTTGTGGTCAGTGAGGAGGTCAAAATCAATGCCGTACAGGTACAAATGGAACCGCTCACAGCCCCAAACCACCGCCAGAGCCTCCCGCTCTGTCTGGGAATACCGCCTCTCGACATCACTCAAACTTCGGCTGGCATACTCAACTGGCTTGAGCACACCTGAGCGCTGTCTCTGAAGCAGGACTGCGCCGAGGCCCACCGGGGAAGCGTCCACGACAAGTTGGGTCTCTGCTGTCAGGGAGAAATAAGCGAGAACGTTCCTGTTGGCCAGCCTCCGCTTCAACTCGTTGAAGGCGTCGTTCTCCGGCTTCTCCCATTTCCACGCCACCCCAGACCTCGTCAGGTCACGGAGAGGTGCCGAAACTGTTGACAGATCGGGGATAAAACGACCCAGAAATGTCACAAGACCCAGGAAAGACCGCACTTCGGAAGCATCCTGCGGTTCTCTGGCGTTCAAGACAGCCGCCACCTTCTCGCCGGTCGCAGTGACTCCGGCTTTCCCCAGACGGTGCCCCATGAACGTCAGCTCAGTCATGCCAAACTGACACTTCTCACCGTTCAGTTTCAGGCCGGCATCCTGTAAACGGCGGAGGACTACGTCCAGCCGACGATCATGCTGCGCGACTGTCGGGGCATACACGATGATGTCGTCGGCAATGTTGCGGACGCCGTCACACCCCTCCAGCACCTGCTGAATCACCCGCTGGTGCATCTCTGGGGTACACGAGATACCGAACATCAAACGTTTGTACCTATATAAGCCCTTGTGTGTGACGAAAGTGGTAATGCTCCGTGATGACTCATCCAGCTCGATCTGGTGGAATGATTGTGCCAAATCTAGTTTGGAAAACACCGTAGACCCTGTCATTTCATGCAACACATCATCCAGTGTGGGCATTGGATGCCTCTCTCGAATCACAGCTGCATTAGCCCGGCTCATATCCACACACAGTCTGATATCCCCGTTCTTCTTCGGCGCACATACAATGGGTGACACCCACGGGGTCGGGCCACTAACCTGTTCAATAATATCCTGGTCCAGCAGCTCCTTCAGCTTCTGCTCCACGGGACCTTGCAGAGAGAACGGAATTCTCCTGACCTTCTGCGCCACCGGGGTGACGCCTGGATCGATCGGCACCGTCAGCTGGAAGTCCTTCAGCTTGCCAAGTCCTCTGAAGAGAGCAGGGTATTTGTGAGCGGGATGACTGCTCTCGGAGACGCATCTGACCTGGGGTCCCACACGGAGCAGGCCCAGCCTCTCAGACGTCGCCCTCCCCAGCAGAGACTGATGTGACCCAGGGATGACATGAAACACTGTTTGGGCTGTGCGACCCTGAAATGTGACACTGGTCTTGAACTGGCCCATGACTCTCATTGGTTTTCCAGATCCATACGCGTACAGTCTGTCACTATTTGGTAGCAACTGTTTACTCCCAAACTTTTCCTTGAACAAAGCCTCACACATGACGTTGCACGTAGCACCCGAATCAACAAGAAGGTCACAAGACTGGCCACTTACTTGGACAGGGTACGTCACGTCGCGGCCGTCATCGGCGAGCCGGAAGACGTGATCTTCGTGCTCCGTCGTCACCAGACGAACCTGTCTCCGGCCCGGTCGAGACTGGCCACCCCCACGACACATTCTCTGGTAATGACCACCTCGACCACAGCTATGACACTTTTTGTTTTTAGCGAAACAGTCCTCGGGGTCGTGAGTACCCTTGCCACAGCGAAAACATTTCGTCCTACCGTCTGTCTGATCCGAAGCTCCTCCAGGCATCCTCCGATCAGGGCGGCGCGTGTGCACAGCGCGTGCAGCGAGCTCCTCTGCTGCGCGGTCCTCCATCAGCTCAGCTTGTCTGTCGGCATCTTCCATAGACCTCGCAATCGTCAGCGCCGACTGCAGCGTCAGGCATTGTTCCCTGAGCAGATGGCATCGTAAGCGATGGCTCAGGCACTTGTCAACAATCTGATCTCTGACCATTTCATCCTGAAGGGATCCATACTCGCAAGTCCGTACAAGGCCCCGCAGCCTGGTTGCAAAAACATCGATCGTCTCCCCTGGCCTTTGAGCTTCCTTACGGAACACATGTCTCTCGTAAATTACGTTTCGCTTCGGCAAAAACTGTTGATCAAAAACTTCATAAAGCTGCTGCAGAGTCTCAACCTTGACACTCGCGTCAACAACAGAATGGAACACTTCTTGAAGATCTACTCCTCCGACATGTAACAAAAGCGCTATTTTCCGAGACTCTGAGGTGATGCCCGATGCCTGAATGTAATATTCAAAAGAGCGTTTCCAACTGTCCCACTTACTTGGCTCCGCGCAACTGAACGGCGCGAGCGGCGCCAGCTCCCGCTCCATGACCACGTACCGTGTGGGCCGACGACTATACCTCGCTGACACGCACCGGGGCAGCAGATCTCATCTTCGTCGCCAATGTTGCGTCGTCGCGTCACTCACACACACAGCGAAGACGGCACTGCGTTCGGAGCTGTATTGACGGTCCGCTCTGTAACACGTCCGGGGAGCGACTACCCCGTCCTCCCCGCCCGGCCGGCTGGCCCCGGCCCGCCGACCGGTCACCACCGGAGGCGCCGAGCGGCACCGGTACGATACCTGACAAGGGCGGCAAAGACTGTACACTACAGCATGCACCCTGTCTCTCATCAACGCCTGGAAAACGACCAGCGAGCCGTCACAGAGATCACAGAGCATGCTGTTGCTGCCTCTTCTGACGAGCCGGCCCAAGACGTCCCAGGAGAATCGGCCCAAGGGCTGGGATAGTGGACCAAATCGGTGTTTGTGCCCATGCTGGCCGTTGGGAATCGTTACGAATACATACGTGTGGGAACCAAAACTGTCTTTGTTGAACCTGATCGATGGTGAAAAGTAGTCCACTTGTAGCTGGGAGTATAACTTTCTGTTTTATGACAGTACCTACCATTGAACACACAACTCAAAATGCACAGAAACACTTGCATGCCTCTGATCTTCGCTTGATATTTAAGTCCACAGCCTGGAATTTTGACTCAAGATTGGCAATTCTGGCGGGAAAACATAGCGGAAAATGTTTTGTTTTCCATTTAAGCGAAGGTTCCAGAACGTTAAAATGAATAATTCAAAGAAAAATGGCCATGCTCCCTGGCAAATGCTTCAAACGTATTGCCACAATTTTGGGCCCCTTATGCTACTTCGGCCAGATCAGTGCACAGTCCATGTATAGAGAAGTCTGTGGCAGGGTACAATAGACCACCACAGGGTAAGATGGACCACAGTGGTCCGTCTTGCCCCAAATCTAAATTCTGTCATTATCATGACGTATATGTTAAATAGCCCAACATTGCAAAACCTTGCCTCTCCTAAAGTGTGACTATAACTAAGTTTATAGCTTTGTTCTTCACAGTAAAGTGCAAAATAGAAACTAATCATGCAAGAAAGGCGCCGTAATTGAATCACCCGTAGACCTCTTATATTAGATCGGTTTGACGAAAAGCAACACTTTTCTCAATAACTCAAAAGCTATGCATCCTAGCAGCATGAGCTCAAGATGGCCATTGTTACGAAGGAAAACAAACATAGTGAGTGCATAAAGCCAGAGGTGAATAAAACTCAAAAGCTGTCACCTACGCGATGTCTAGCTGTCGGCAATTTTTCACAAGTCATCTTGAAACAGAAGGTACCATTTTTTGCCGTTTTCTCATCACCTTTGAGGCCAAAAAAGTAAATTTGAACATGAGGCTAGAATGTTAGAAATAAATTGATCTTTCAAATTTCAGACTCTGGGCATCACATCGCATCACCATATTTCAATACCTAGTTACACAACAAAAAATAAATCACTATCACTAAACTTACCTATAGGTCTGATCGACTTCCTATAGCTCGTCCTGGCTTCCTGATCCAGTTCAATCAGAACTCACGAAAGGATTGTCAGTTGTCACTGATTCACTTGTCTTTGCTTCAGTAGTCAAGACCAATTATCAACGCTCCTACCAAATTTCTAGGACCGATGGTCATGGACCTCGCACCAGTTGTGGCCCAGATGTGACGTCCCCCGTCCCCAGTCGCCCGGTCCCTCCCTACTCCGTCGGCGGCCAAGGCCGCGTCGGTCCCCGCCTCCGCTCAACCGGCGACGAGCGGGGACGAGCTGTCGCGCTGTCGCCGTTTTTCCTGCGTTGTCTATGGCGCTTCACAACGCACCGGCTGTCGCACCGGCGGGATTTTTCAGCCCCAGCTGTCTACAAAGAGACGACGCTGTTAAATTTTTGTGCCGTGGTTCATAGTGGTCTTCTATGGGAAGACAGCTCTGATTGTAGCGGAAACGGCCTAGTTATCTACTTTAAATGCATCAACTGAGATGCTCGAATCTGTCTGTTTATTCCTATGGCTGTCGCCTACGCACGCAGGCGAGTAGCAGGTTTTTTTCACCTCTGCATAAAGCAGTAGATACCAGCAGCGGTTCAGCCGGGAGGGCTGGTGGTCCGTCTTGCCCCGCTGGGCCGTCTTACCCCACCTTCCCCTAAGGAGAACCGGATTTTTAGAACTTATCCGTAACTTCAAAACTCATGGAAACGTCTTAAATTCTTCAAATTTTGAGTACTCCAGTGCGAAATTCGCCCCGACGGGTTGTCGGTCGTACCCTAACCACATTTCACACCACTATGAACAATAAATGCACACACTAAAATCGCTATTACCGATAGGCTCATCCAATCAAGTTTCGATAAACCCGTTCATCATCAACTCCTGCGGTTTCGAACACGCCTGTTAGGTGGCTTCTGATGCTCGTCGAGGTCGGAATTTCCAAATACGCTTGGTGCGTCCGGCCGCGCGCTCTGACTTCGGCCAAGAAAAATGCGTCAGCTGATCATGGTCTTTTCACGTCAGTTCCGTGCAAAATACGTTAACGCTTGGCGTCAGAGGTGCAGCCGGCCCCCCGTTTTCCTGGAGGTGCCCGGCATATGAGGGAGCCGGCCACAGAGGGTGCGGGCGCCAATTGGAGGCTAGATAAGCGCCAGCGGTCGGGTAAGCAAACACAGCCCGCCCGGCCTGGCGAGGACACTGCGCCGGGCGCCCTCAGTGCGTGGGTGGCACGCCACACGGCGGCCGCTCATGTTTTTCGTGCGTGCGCGCTCAAGCCGCTGCGATCATCTCCCGAAGATGGGACGCTCCACACGCGGAAGGGCATCCGGTAAGTCACGCCTTTGCTTGCTGGCGTCTCCCCATTGTGTCCAGGCTGTCACAAGCGACGCCACTACCAGCAATCTTAGGCCCGCGGGCGCTCGGTGCCGGCGTACCGCCCCCTCGTATTGTTGTGTTGAGCATTTCAGAGCGGTCCACGTTCCATTTGCGTGTCGGTTACTGCCGTGGCGATCACGTGGCGATTACTGCTCCTTTGCTTGTCTTTCACCGCCGACACGTCCCGCGCCGTCACGCCGCAGCTGACATCCCGCCATGCTTATATCATTTCTCGAGTTTCTCTAACGGCCAGTCCGCCATGCCCTACTAACGCCCATCTCACCGTCGCCGGTGAGATTTCCCGTCTGCTATTACGCCGTCACGCCGCCGCTGACATGACATCTATCGTCAGTCGCCCGGACTGTGCCGTCTTATACGCTGTCACGCCGCCGCTGACAATCAACTATCTCGCCCGTTGCACGGCCTGTCCCATCTGTCATACGTGGTCAAGCCGCTGCTGACTACCTCTTCTGTCACACGGACTGTTCGTCTGTCATAACACCGTCACGCCGCCGACAGACCTCGGTCTTGCCGCCGGGACCTCTGCGCTACGGCAGGCAATGTATCTTCAGCACGGGGGCTGCGCGCCTGCGCATCGCAACTTTGTTGCCACCTACCGCCGCTACGTCACGAGCCGTCACTCTGCTGCCGGTCATGCCCGTTACACGGTCACCGCGTCTGTCATATGCTGCTGTCAAGCCACCACCACCGGCCGACCTGTCCGGTCCATCGCACGAGCTGCCTATCCGTCACATACCGCCACGCCGATGCCGTCACGCCGCTGCCGACAACCTGGAACTGTAACGCCGCTGCGGACAAAACATCTATCATCCCCGCCGCACGGGCTGTCCGCCTGTCACGAACCACTGTCACGCCGCCGCTGACACTTCTGTCTTGTCTAACGCACTGAGTGTCCGTCCGCCATATAGGTACTGCTATCACGCTGCTTCCGACCGTTCACGATTATGTCTAGCTCAAGCGCCCGGACCGACCCGTCTCCCATATACCGCCGCCATGCTGACACTCCACCCATCCCGGCCGCCGCCCGGACCACCCCGTACGTCTTAACCGCTGCCGCGCCGCCGCCAACGGCACCGAGCACACCTACCATGGCAATCGCCAGGCCCTCTGTCACATACCACCGTCCCGCCGTTACTACAAGCACCCCTATCATCTACCGAGCCACCCCGGCTGTCGCGCCGCCGCCGACAGACCCTTCGTCATGCCACCGCTCTAGCCGCCCGCCTGTCACACATCAACGTCACTCCGCCGCTGACAGAGCAACGGTCATGTCCGACGCCGACGGCGGCCCGTGTGCCACGCCGTCCCCCACCCGCCGCCTGGTTACCCTGCCATATACTCCGCGTCGTCTCTTGGCCCGGGGCCATCGCCTACCACCGCCCGCGGACAGCACTCGTTCCGCCGCGCCCGCCGCCGCGGCCGGCCTGATAACCCTCTCCCCAAAAGTTCGTTCTCACCTAAATTTTACGTTTTTAGGCTCTCTTGCTGCTTAAAGGCACGCTGAAGCTGGTTCGTAATTGAGCTTACGTGGTTGCCATGGCTAGTAGAAATATGCTCCACAATAGCTAATTTCTGTAGACAAAATAGTTTTTGCTAGAGAGCCCGCTTCCTACAGAGACGGCTAACGCCGCAACATAGAGGTCTCCGATACGGGTACGTCTCAGTATTAAGTCAGCACGTGACCATTCGCGACGATTGAGGGTGATTGATGCCTACCAGTGTGCAGCCAATGTCCATCGCTAACTGGACGCACAGTCAGCAAGTGACGCCGATGATTTGTCGGGAGTCAATCACTGCAAGTTTATCCTCTTTCCAGTCAGCCCTCAGGAGTGAGCCAAGTGGCCAAAATTGTGTGGCGCTAAAGTGGCCATCAAAAAGGTCAACGGGTTAGAAAGTTGGTAAGCAGACTTTTCAGGATGGATTACCAACTGTTTAAGAGTGTTCTTTCGGGGTACATAACTCGAGGTGACTTAAGCTTTGCTTACCGGAGGGCACAAAACAGTCAAAAACGTCTTAAAATGGCCAAACATGAGTTTCGTTATGCCTTAGGCTAAACAAAACTAGAGCGCTGATGACATCAACCAGGTCATCTGGACTAACTAGTCCACGTTCGAGATGAAACACCCGTCCAAACCCGAAAACAACCCCATAAGGACGAAGGAGGAGGCCTCCGTTTCGTCCCGTTATGCTCCTATGCAAAAGGCCAGTGTCACTGTGTTGTGGGATTATAGGCTTTCTGGAGTTGACCAAGCTGAAAGTGGCAACCCAGAAACAGTTTTGGGAGGCAGAATGTTTTTCCAAGAACATCTAGGAGGATTTTCAGCCCTCCAGCTGAACTCGAACCGCGAGTATGAACACATTTATAGCCCACGAGCCGCTGGGGGGGGGCATAAAGTTGCCCCCCTTTACGTTTGGTGGAATATCTCCGAAACGGGATAAGATACGAAGCTGAAACTTGGCATAGCTTCAAATGAATACCTAGGCCATATTTGAGGAAAGTTTGGTGGTTGTAGCACTTAAGATGACGTCACAGTGACGTCATAAAGTTTTGTCGTTTTCCAATACGGAGCGTTTCCGATGTCGCTGAGCATGAAACGCGGCGGTAAATGAAGTAAACAGCACCTGTTGTCATTCTGACACATCTAAGTACACTGTTAACTATATCCTGACCAGTTATCGGTCCTATATTCTCGGTCTCATGTGTCGGATATATCGTGAGGAAACTAAGGGACGCCAATCTACGATTAGGCTTCTGACGTCACTGTGACGTCATTTCAAATGGGATCGACACCAAATT